TAGGAGCACTAGTGGAGCTGGAGCAACAGCCCGGATGTCCACCGGACTGCCCTCGGCTCCACCATGGGTCTGTGCCCCACTGTACCTGCCTGTTGTGCACTTGGTGTCAACTGGCTGCTTTGTTGGGTTGTCCTGTACCGTCTTTGCACCTCTGGATCCCAGCCTCCTGCCGTATCTGATACCCAACTCGTTTGAAGCCATAAAAAAGAGAGGTGTTTGTGGAGTCGCCTAGACAGCTGCCTCACCCCCTGTTCATTCTTTCTTTTTATAGATCCAATCTCAGCTTATTCCCAAATGTTGTGAGTGTGGGAACTGGGACTCAGTGGGTTAAAGGGCTTACCTTCTGAGGTCAGTCACAAGCAGTGCTTCCCAAGTGGAGTGAACATTCATGCATTCATCTTTCCTTCTTTCTCTACCTCCTTCCTTATACACATCACTCCATTTTGTTAACAAAGGGGAACCTTCTGTCTGCCAGACACAGCTCCCTCCCCTCCCGGGAAGGCATAATTGATAGATGGTAGGAGAGAGGTGTGCTCAGACAGAATACCTAACCCAGCTGATTCTGGGAGAAGGAATCAGGAAAGGGTTCCCAGAGAAGGTGATGACCACACTAAGGCTTAAAGGATGGCTGAGAGTTAACCAGGCAGAAGGAGACATGAGAGCAGGGTGTACGAAAAGGAAGGTCAGGGAGCTCACCGTGCACAGAGAAGGACAAGTTGGTCTAGACTTCTGGCGGCTGGTGAGGAGGAGGCAAAGGCCATGCAATCATGAGGGGGCCCTATATGGACCATCTGCTACCTGCCAGGCAGCAGACTGTGTGCTAGCTCAACAGGCTTCAGAGTGGGATGCTATTAATATCCACAGTTACAGATGAGGAAACTGAGGTGCAGAGAGGCTACATAACTTGTCGAAGACCACACAGGTAATGAGTCCCAGAGAAACCCACTGCCATTCAATCAATTTTGAGTCATAGTGACGCTATAGGATGGGGTAGAACTGCCCCTATGGGTTTCCGAGAGCAGAAATCTCTACTGGAATAGAAAGCCTCATCTTTCTCCTTCAAAACAGCTTGTGGTTTTGAACTGCTGACCTTCAGATTATCAGCTCAGTGTATAACCCACTCCTCCACCAGGACTCTTGCGTGTCAGAGAAAGTGCTAAGAAGGACTTGGGAAATTGTATGCTTTTCGGATTATATGCCAGTGAAACTGCTGAGATTTTGAAAAAGAAGAACGATGTGGGATGGGTCTCAGGCAGTGGCTTCAGGCAGCCTGGTAGCATGTTCTCTAACCCTACTGCTTAAACGGAGCAGGGCCTCCTGCTGCTGCCCTCATTGATGCCCGCCCCTGCTGATTGCTCTGTGTCCTCCCACAGGTGGAAGGACAGTCCAGAGCCCAGGCCATTGCACAGGAACTGCTGTCTTCAGAGAAAGCGTGAGTCCCCAAGCAGCTGCCTATGGCCTTGAGCTTGTAAACAAAACATCACCTCCCCCAGGCTCATCCAGGATGGGAATATATGCACACTCAACCCTCTCTCCCTCTGCAGATACGTGGAGATGCTCCAGCACTTACATCTGGTGAGTTAATCATTTTAATTGTCCAAAACTAATTGCCCTTTTACAAGGCTATGATAAAAGAGACAGAAAGCAGTGAGGAGACAGAGGTGAAATCCATTGGCAGCAGACAAGTGTTCACCGAAGCTTTTTAGGGAAGTCTGTCTCCTGATTAATGTGCTTTGGTGAGGGGGGAGGGAGTGGGGTGGGAGGTGTTGAGGTTTCTGGAAGGATGCTTGCGTTTCCTCAGCCCTGTTTTGAGGAGGGTGGAAGGAAAGCCCAGGTTTTCCTAGGCAGCTCCAGGCTATGTGTACATTAGATTACAGGTGAATGTGTACGTGTGTGTGTCAGTTGTGTGGAGAAGGTGGTAAGATCAACTAGGGTATGCAAGAAGATGTAACCAGTCACCCCAGAACGGAGGGAATAAAACTTGAGTCTCCAGCGTCTTCAGAGCATCTGAGACTAGACTTTGGGGGAGGGGGAGAGGATAAATAAACAGACTGACTCTTACAGGCCCTGCTCCCTGTTCCATCGGAAGAGCCTCACCTGAAGTGTTTCCCTTTGCAGTCAGTGCCATTCAGTTCAACAAACAGGAGCTGGGCATGGACAGAGCGTGCGAGTCAGCTTTCCCGCAGGGCCACTCCAGGGAAAGGGACAGATTGGTAGACAAGTGACTACGGGGCGTGTAGGTGCAGAGTGCTCGGCCATGTCGGGAAACTGGGTCAGCTTCCCTGGGAAAGTGTGAGCTCCACCTGGAGACTGATGAAGAAAGGGGGCTTTCAGGCAAAGGGGAGAGCAAATCTAGGACATTCTAGACATCTTAAAGGCCTCATGGAGGCAGTGGTTGTTCAGTTGGAGCATTCTTGCTGTCCATGCGGGAGACCCGAGCTTGATTCCAGGTCAGTGGACCTCCCATGCAGCCACCCATGGTCCTTGGAAGCCTGCGTGTTGCTTTGGTGCTGAATAGGTTTGGGGGAAGCTTTTAGACGAAGACAACGGAGGAAATACAGACACCTCCTTTTGAAAGTCAGCCATGGGAAACCGGATGGATCCCAACGATCAGATTTGTTGATCACGGGCATAGCGTGGGACTGGGCAGTTTGATTGTCCATGGTGTTGCTTGGAGTTGAGGGTCAACTAGATGGCAGCTAACAACAACAACCTCAGCATGGAGTGTCACATTGTGACTGAGCCAGCACGAGACCCACCCCACGCTCACCCCCCACGGTCAAAGTTCTTTGGGCCGTCATCTCTGGGAGTACCATAGTCCTCACCACTTCTCCAGGCCAGGACCCATGTCAGTCATTCCATGCTGACGCCAGTCTCACTTGAACCGAGAGCCCCAGGCCCTAGGGAGAGGGCAGCGCACTCTCCCGGCCCTTCATTTTTTCTTCACTACACACATCATTAAACTCAGAAGCCCTTGGGTATGGAGAACCACCACCACCCATCCCCCCCACCTGAGACCTAAAAAAACCATCTAGCAAGAACGGGAAGGCACTTTCCTCTCTCTCCTCTCTCGCTTGCCCCTGAGCTGGCGCGTGTCAGAGGGGCTGGGCCTTCTTGTGCGATGACTTTGTTCAGAGGATTTTTACTGGTAAACTTCCATCTGTGTTTGCACTGCCTCCTGCCAGTTGGAAAGCTGCTGGAGCCACCGGTAATCCATAATCATTTCCCAACGACGGGGAATAAAGAAAGAGCCCATAAAAATCACAGCTTACAAGCTAGTTTCGGGAAATTATGGTCTGGAGCTTTATTTATGACATCAGCATTGATGGGGATGGAAATGGCAGCAATTCCCTCAATATGACCCCGGATCCTAGCTTGGGACACTCCTCTTAAAGGAGCCCCATAGCTCCTTTCAACCACTTTCCAACCTTGGATCCATTCCTGGTTGCTAACATGGTAAGCCCTCCCTCTCTCCCCCCAAATCACCCCTTAGAGATTTGATACTATTGAAATCCTCAAGCTGCCCATGATGAGGAGGGGCCAACTTTGCTTGCTTAACCTCCTCAGCTGGAGTGGTCCTTGCCTCCCTTATGCGGTGGCTAGGGGAGGGGGGAATCTGAATAGATTCAGAAAGGCAGGTCTGGTGAGTTGAATGAGTTTGAACAATGCTGGGGAGCAGAAGGTACGTCAAACCAAGCTCCCCGACAGTCTCATCTACTGGAGAAGTCAATGTAGAGCCAGGGAGCATTCTGTACTCCTTAAGCATAGTGAATGTGTCTGCCTCTACCTGTTGTGCTTTTTGTCCATAGACGACATGAAGAAATAATTTTCAGTTGTATAAGGAGGACCTTGTTTCTGTTCTAAATCTTTTCTGGGCTGTTCAGGGCACAGCAAGCATGCTGATGTTTGGAAAATTCAGAGGGAAACCAAATGTAGTTCCTCAGGAAGAGATGTGCTTCTTTCTAAGCCAGCGTTGTCCAGGAACTGAGTTCTCAGTATCTGGAGGTATGAGCTCTGGAGCTGGTGAGCAGAGACGCTCACCAGGCATGTGACTTTGTTGTTTCAGAGTCCAGGAAAACATTATGTGTGACCTTCAAAGGTCCCTTCCTCAATTCCTTGGTTCCCCCACTCTGAGAACTTGGTGGAATTCAGACATTTAGCCCTAAAACCTGTATCCAAATGAAAATTTACTCAGAATACTAATGTGAAGAATGGATGAAAGTGGAAGTGCTTTGGTTCTAAGTGAGTTGGAAGCCAGAGTTTGGGTTCTGAGCACCCCGCCCCCACTCACACCCACCTCTATTAAACCTGGGTCTCCACAGAACACAATATGGTCATTTATTTCTAGACTAGACCTATCAAAAAACCCACTGTTGTCAAGTCAATTTTTATTCAAAGTGACTGTACTGGACAGAGTAGAACTGCCCGTCCTCTCCCCCCCAAGGCTATCGCTCTTTCCAGAGCAGACTGCTGTATCTTGCGCCCAGCATGGCTGGTGAGTTGTAACCGCTGTTTTGAGCAACCACAGCTATCTAGTCCCAAACATCCACTCCCCACTTCTCCCTCCCCTCAGTCCCTGCCAAATAGCAATCTGCTTTCTGTGTCTATCAATTTATCTATTCTTGATATTTCATTTTAATGGAATCATATCATATATGACCTTTTGTGTCTGGCTTATTTTGCTCAGCGTAATGTTCTCATGGTCCAGCTACTTTTAGATGTATCTGAACTTCATCATCTTGTATGGGTGAATGATGTGGTCCTTTGTATGCTTTCTGTGTTGTGACTGTTGTAGATAGTGCTGTCACGGGCATCCACCTGTCCTTCGCTTGGGTATCCACCTAGGAGTGGAGTTGCTGGGTCATGTGGTAGTTCCATATGTCACTTTTTGAGGAACTGCCAAGCCTTTATCTACTCTTTTTTACTGTTTTCTGTTTTAATCTTTTCATTACTGTGATGGAAGAGTGCATTCCTTGCATACTAGACTCTGACCACATCACGCATTTCCTCTCATTCTGGGCGCTGTCTTATTGTTTAGTACTATTTTAGTGCGTTTGTGTGGAATGTTCACCCAGCAGATCAGGTTCCCATCCAACAATCTCTACACTCCTCGGTGCCATCAGGTGCGTGCTCCCCATGCTGCACACGCTCCTTCACTTGGCTCTGGCTGTCTAGTTTCCACCATCGCGTCGCTCTAGACTTTCATCTTTGTTGTAAAGTAATTGTTAACGGTTTGGCCTCATCTAGGTGATTTTTAAAAAGGAACACCGTACTTACAGGGGATACTCTTTTGGGGAGCATTTTGGTAATTAAGCTAAAAGGTGACCTCAGGGATTAGTTCAGATCAAATCTTCACCAGGAACCCAAGGCTTTTGTCTCAGGGAGTCTCTCACCTCCACCAGTCCAGTGAAGTCTGCACTGTTGAGAATTTGAGTCTGTTCCACGTCGTCTCCTGTTCTATCAGGCTCCTTCTTCTGTGGCCCTGACCATCTGGTGGGTGCTGAGAGCTGGCAGCGTCTGCTTCTGCTGGTTCCAGGGGATAGGAGGCCATGGTTCATGTGGACTGTTAGTCCTGTAGAATAGGGCTTTTTCCCCATGATCCTTTGGTTTCCTTCCTTCTCATTTATTCCAGACAAGCAGAAACCAATCGTTTTTCTTAGATCACTGCTCACAAGTTTTTAGAATCTCACACACTCACCACTCACCAGAATATGATGTAGACCCACAATTTAGGAACTATATTTTGTCAGTTGGTCAAAATGTCTGTGGGTTGTGTTGTCAGTCTCTTGATAATTGCCACAAGGCAGAAAGCAAACATGCCTCCACGCTCCATCGGTCTTTACCCTATTCTGATACCAACCATTCCTCCCACATCACTCTACTTCAGTGGTTCTTGACCTTCCTCATGCCACGACCCTTGAATACAGTTCATGTGCTGGTGACCCCAACCATAACATTATTTTCGTTGCTATGTCATAACTGTAATTTTGCCACTTTTATGAATCATCATGTAAATATCTAATATGCAGGATGTATTTTCATTGTTACAAATTGAACACGATAAGTCACAAAAATATGTCATGATAAATTGTGAAATATTTATTTCTAATGACAAATAAATGAAATTTTGTCTTGAAGCATGGTGTAGCATGGGTAACAGTCTTCACGCCGGGTGCTCGTATGTGGGCGGATCTGCATGTGGGCGGATCTGCCTGGAGACGGATAGAGGAGCGGTGTCTCAGTTCCTAAGACCATTGGAAATATGTTTTCCGATAGTCTTAGGCGACCCCTGTGAAAGGGTTGTTCAACCTCTAAAGGGGTCACAACCCACAGGTTGAGAACCGCTGGCCTAGCGCATTCAGTCAGCATTGACTGCTATTATGTGAGCACCTCCCCTGGGCTGGGCACTGGAGGGAAGCAGACACAACACCTAATCCTAAAGCTTGTCAGAGAAAAGGCAGTCTGTACCAATCTTGCCAAGATGTCGCTGCATTCTCATTTTACAGAAAATGAGTTGAGGCCCACAGAGATAAAGTGACTCCTGCCAAGCCACACATAGGCCGCTGTGCAGGCAG